TGATATGCTGCTAAACAAACACCATTGAAAAATGTGTGTGTGCGTATTGTATACGTGTGTATTGTATACGTATGTATTGTATACGTGTGGGTAGAAATGTCTATTTAGTATGTGGGTTAATAGCATTGAAAAAATGTGTTTATATGTGAGGGGCGTGTCTGTAGTGAATATGTTCTGTATATATTGTGTGTGCACGTATTTATCATGTGTGCTGTAAACCACAGAAAATGTGTCTCTATGTGTGCGTGCGCGTGCGCATGCGCGTGTGTGTTAACGGTGTCAAAAATGTAAATTGAAGTCTTATTGTCCTCCAATCAGACTTGTTTCAAGTTTTGGCGTATCATTTACTAAGCTTGTTAGAATTTAGCAATTTTCGACAAAAACGTCGCGCATTCCGAGAACTGCAACAGGCAAGCTATGAGTAGAACGATGGATTTCAAATTGGAGTGACGTAGGGAAAAGAGAAGCAGTATTTTTTTTTTTTTTTTTTTTTTTTTTGCCATCGTATTTCTTACATGGCGATTTCTGATTAAAAATAATTACTTGTTCTTCGAATTTGCATTCACATATTACCGATAGAGAAAACAATTCAAATCAGTCCTGATTTTTGTAGAATTTAGTTCAATCCCCAGTCAGGCACGGTTATGGGATCATCACTTGGCGCCTGAGATGCCCCCCAAAAGAGTGCTTAGAGAGTTTGAGCAATTTTTCCACGGTATTGCCGGCAAAGTCACTTTAAACCTCGACCTTGTGCATATTCGGTAGCGACGTGGGAGCACTAAAAATCCAGCCCCCCTTTGTAGATTATTAGGCATTTTGATTTTATTTCAGCTGAATCGGATTGGGTCTGCAGAGGGTATAATGATTTGAGGCTCGCAACGAGGAATCAGCTAAGACGTGTTCGTAATCCTGGTCAAGATTGTAACATTCATTTTCGAACAAATAATCTTCTTTTTTTTTTAAATCAGTCCACCCAAACCAAGGCAATAATGTCACTAAGATGAAAGCGGGTCACCGGAAGTGAAAGAGAAAGAAAAGGAATCGGAAATCCAATTCTAAACAGGAAACATGTGATAAATCCCTACTCCTGCTCAAAAGCCCGTGGAGCAGTGTGAACCGGACGATAGGCGAACTTATCTACTCCTATTAAAATGAAAAAGGTATGAACCCTTCACTTAATCCCCCCCACTTATGATTTAAATAGCAGGGCAGACTGAACTTGATTGGCAGCCAGTCTAGAAAATGTACGACTCTGAATTTAAAACTGTTGCGCTTGAATTGTAACTAAGATTCGCTCAGTACAGATGCAGTTTAAACCACTGGTTGGCTCTGCGAGTGTCGAAGAAATAAAAATAGGCCCTGAAGAGATGGTCATGTTCAGAAACGAGCAGCCGTACTGAAGAGGACTTGCCGTGTGCCTTCAAATCGAAACATCTCTGATGAAGTCGCGTCTCTTGTTTAGCCATTTCTGATTAGAAACCGTGACACCAAATGACGCATAAAGTCTACAAATATTACATCCGGTTACCTAGCCTTTTAAAAGCACGTAAGATAATTAAATCTACCTTGTGGCCAACGTATTTGCGTATTACGAATTGACACTAGTTTCCCGCGTTTGAAATCAAGACGCCAAGTTTTCAAATACAAATATTCAAAGCTGGCAGATTTTCCTCACTTGAAGGATTGGCGTTACACAGTCTTTATACTCATTTTCTCTAATTTTACCTTAGTAAATATCATAATATAAAAAGCAGGAGTATTTCCCTAATTACTCATAACAGAACCTCTAGAAAATGGTATATCAAAAGTATTTTCGCTTTTTACAGATCTTTACCCCCGCAAGCTAATTTATTACACACCTCTAAAGACTATCTATGATTCCACTATATTATTAATATTATTATTATGACATATTGGAAACTATCAAAAGTATTTTCGTTTTTTACAGAAGTTTATTCCAAAGCGTATTTCATATATACATCTAAACGCAATTTCTTATTTCCCTATAATAGTAATGTAAAATTTCGCTGAAAGAGGATCGGTATTCGATTTCACTCCAGACAAGGAATCCTTGTGTATGTGTGATATTGTGTCTAATCCCGACCGCAGAATGCAGAAGCACAAGACCTCCTAAAATAGAGTTTCGTAGACTCTCCAGAATTTGCTCCAGACACACGACAGTTGCTATCAGCAATGGACTATATATATATATATATATATATATATATCTAGCAGTAGAGCCCGGCGTTGTCCGGGGATGTAACAGTAAGAGATAGACCAAGTATCGACCATCATAAAGACTGAAAAATAAAATTGACAAAGATTATTGTTTAAGGTTGACGGACACGCATGTCTTAATTAGTTTTTTTTTTTTTTGTTTTGTTTTTTTTACGAATTGGTCAAACCCAAACTCAAACAAAAACATTGTTTTCAATCGTTATGAGTCTACCGATTGAATAGAATTTTATTATAAACAATTGTCTTGTAAATGGAATTTTTAAAGCATTCTGAATGTAAAAATAAAGAAAAAAGTGTGCAAGACAATAAGAAACACTACCTGCCAAAAAAAGTGAAGTTTTGTTGAAATCGGTTGAAAAATGTAGGAAATCCGACCCCATATATAAATGAACACACACACACAAACACAAACAACCTGGGTTTTATAATAAGTATAACTCGATATGAGTTGTCCCCCCTTCATTCTCGCGACAGCGATGCCTCTTAATCGTGTTTTCAAATTGATTTCGTGCAAAAACAATTGTGTTTTTTCCCATTTTTGGCCCTGTCAGAACCACCGCAAGGTAATTTTACGTAGTCCGGTGAAATTTTTGTTGAAATCGGTTGAAAAATGTAGGAAATCCGATCCAATATATAAACGAACATACACACACACACACACACACACACACAACCTGGGTTTTATAATAAGTATGATATTCAAACATATATTGTTAACTATAACAGACAACGAATATCTATTATGTTTGATTATGAGCCATTCTAAGCTTCGTATAGTGGCTTTAGTTTCGGGAGAAAATAAAGACTAAAATAGTCCATTATGTTTTTATTATATTCTTCCTCGATCAAAGCTTTCGACTCACATGAGCCATCATCAGAGGTGGTTATATAGACATTACAACAGAGATATTCACTATCAAAGATGATATCCTGTTATGTTTAGATAGAAGTTGTTTGCTATGCGACGATAACGCTAGCGGAATAGCAGATGCAGGTCGTAAATATATATATATATATATATATATATATATATATATGTGTGTGTGTGTGTGTTTGTGTGTGTGTGTGTGTGTGCGCGCGCTAGCAGTATCAGCCGTCTTCGACCGGGTCTTTCATTACTGGGAATTTTTGCTGTTCAATTGGAGCAGTTTAATTTTAAAGTCAGCCCACCCAAAAATCAATATTAGTAACAACATTTGGGTGCAACTGAGGCACATCCCCCCAAAGGGGAGGGGGTTAACAATTTGAATGTTGGGGGGGGGGGCTGAAAAGGTCCGTTTTTGCGCTCTCAATCTTTCAAGGAAGGAATCTCTTCCATGGACCATCATCATAATAATATACGATAATTTTGATATCTATCTCAGTCTGTTCATATCTATCTATCTGGTTTTAACCATTCTATCGCTAACTTAGGCATGAATCACTGACCAATCAGCTCCAATATTTCCCTTTCACCAAATATCTTATTTACACTGCAAAGTCTTTATGCAGTCCTAATCCCATTTCAGCCAATACAAGCTACTTAGAAAGTTAAATTTATAAACGTTTCCTATTTGTTCCGTAACCTATCATATATATATATACACTAGCAGCATAACCCAACTTTGACCAGGTCTTTCATGACTGGGAATTTTTGCCGTTCAATTGGAGCAGTTTAATTTTAAATTCAGCCCACCCGAAAATCAATATTAGTAACAACATTTGGATGCAACTTAGGCACTTCCCCAAATGGTGTGTGTGTGGGGGGTTACAATTTCAATAGGGGGGTCCTGAAAAGGGTAAGTGTATAATAATAAATAATATTATTGTAATTATTTAAACTATTTATTTTTATTAAAGTTTTTATGAAAGATATATATCCAAGAACAGATAGCAAATTTTAAAACGTTACTGAGAGTTATGATGGGCAGGAAGTAGTGGAGAGCCATTGTCTCCAACAATTTGGACTCAAAACCGGCACTGAAAAATTAGCTATCAAACTAAAAAAAAATCATCAAAATCGGAAGTAAACTGTGGAAATGAATAAACAACATCCGATCATACAAGCACACACACACACACACAGACACATATATATATATATATATATATATGTATATGTATGTATGTGAAATGCACTAAGTCTGACAATTATTTTAATATATTATCTGTTTATACGTTATTTTTATAGATATAAATATTTAAGTAAATGCTCTGTTTATAATGAACAGAAGAATTTTCTTAAATATTTGTATCTATAAAAATAACGTATAAATATATATATATATATATATATATATATATATATATATATATATATATATATATATATAAGGTAACCAAAATGTTCTTGGCATTTTTTACGTCGTGTGAGAAAAAGGGATCACTGATAAGCAAATGAGTGCGTCATGTGCCGGGGGAAGTGGTAGAGTGACCAATGCAGGTGCGTTGCGCACACAAACGTCAGTCATAAGTTGAGCAGCGTCGGCAAAACATGGCGGTGTCGAAGCAGATCGTTCGGGGTTGTCTGTTTTATGACTTTAAGGTGGGGTATGTCTGAAGCTGCACCAAGTCGCCGAATACTTCAAGCCTTTAGGGATAATGATGTGAGTGAAGGCAGGCATTGGTTCCAGAGGTTTGGCTCTGGGTGATCTGTCGCTTGAGGATGAACCCCGCCACAGGTCCTGAAGGCGGCGATAGAGGAGCACAATAGCCAAACCTGTGCTGTGCTTGCTGAACGTTTCCAGTTTTCTGATGAAACAGTTATATTTCATCTGTACCGCATGGAGAAGGTGTACAAGCTGAGAAAGTGGCTACCCTACACATCTATCTATCTATCTATCTATCTATCTATCTATCTATCTCAGTGTGTTCATATCTATCTATCCACAAGTCTATGTGTATCAATCTCAGTCCGTTCATATCTATCAAGTCCTTGTTCTTTTCCCTATCTATATGTACAGGTATATAAGTTTCTTTAATATCTATCTATCTATTTAGCCCAATTTGTTCATATCTATCTACCTACCTATTTATCTGTGTATCTATCTCTGTCCATTCATATATATCTATCAAGTCCTTGTTCTTTTACCTATCTATATATATATATATACAGGTCTTAATTCCTTGAATTTATATATATATATATATATATATATATATATATATATATATATATTGTGTGTGTGTGTATTTAGGCAGCATTTTTCCATTCATACAGGTTTCATTAAATAATATAGACAAATATGTATCAATATTGTGATTTTCTTTCTTCGTTTAATGATAATGTTATTAAGCTTATCAGACGTTATGAAATGAATTTATATAAAATCAATAGACAACATTTGTCTATATTATTTAATGAAACATGTATGAATATATATGTGTGTGTGCGTGTGTGTGTGTGTCTCAGTCTCTTCATATCTATCTATCTATCTATCTATCTCAGTCTGTTCATATTTATCTATCTCCGTCTGATCATATCTATCTCTCACAGTCTGTTCATATCTATCTATCTATCTATCTACAATGTATTGGTGGCTGGTAGTCTTAACTCATAAGTACGACTGAAATGTCCCCTACTAAATCAACCTTACGTCATATTAATCCTCGATAGAAAACAAATATCACCACTCAGAACTTGACGCCCCCAACTTATGTGCGCAGAGGAACGAATCAAAAATTGAAACACTAATTTGATTGGCGTAAAATACTAATTAGCCATAAATGTTTACATGATAGTCAATTGACTGCTGATGAATTCGTTGAGTGAAGACCTGATCGATATCCGCTCCTCGAGAAGTAATTTTACTTCAGATTAAAATCAAAATCTCTTTCGATTGTTTATCCTCTTACCAAACGCCATTTTGTCTCAAACAATGAAAACAGTTGTCTGCGTAGAACCGACACGCGTTGTTGCAAAACAAATTTCTGCATTGAATCGAATGTCATTAAAAAAAGGAAGAATAAATAAAATAGAATCGTTAAAAATGTAAGAGTTTATTACTTATACTATTAACATTGTTCGGACTGTTCTCCACATTACCGACGTTTCGGCCGTTGTATGATGCGACCTTCTTCAGGTGATTGTAATTTCGAACTGAACCCTTTATTTTGTCCACCGGGGTATATTGTTCTAGTTCCACATGCCATACCTCTTTTGGGGGTCCCAGTATCAGTTATCACCCTTTAACTCAACTCTCAACAAGTGTTTGATCACCTCTGCTGTAGCCAGGTATTGAACTCGCAGCTCTTTGAGTCAAGTCACTGGATTCAACCAACGCTTTTATCCACTAGGCCATGTGTCCTTGAGAAGTAAGAGTTTTTTTATGTTTTCTTTTCACGTGTCAAATGCTAGGTCCGCTGCTAGGAAAGTTGGTTCACCGTGTCGTGCTAGGCAATATTTCTTGACAGAATCTATCTTACATATTTATAAGTCCACTATACGTCCAGGCTTTGAATATTGTGGCCATATATGGTCTGATGCTTCTGCTATATATTTAGAGATTCTTGACGAAATCCAAAGAAGAAGCTGCAATGTTATTGATCCGGACCTGGCATCTCGGCTTCAGTCACTTTCCTATTGCCTTTTTTATAAAGACTTAGTGGCTTTGTTATTTTGCTTGGGGTGAAATGATTAAAAAACTGTATATGCAGACATCGGAAGTGGTTGCATTTTGAGGGCATAAAGACAATATTCGCAGATGCTTTTTTATGATCAATCCCATAAGAGACATGGTATATAAAAGAATAACCACAAAAAATATACTTATATATATATATATATATATATATATATATATATATATACCGAGTGTAAAAGCAAGATTGTCCATTAGCTAGATTAAGCTTTGAACCGTTGCATCTTAGAAATGATTAAAGATATCTTACTGGAATTCTCCGAGGTTTTATAACACTATTGGACTCTACGTTGAGAATTAAGAATGTATAATTACTCTCCAAGCTTAACAGAAGAATCGTGATGAAATTGATCATAAACGAAAATGACATGTTTATCATTACTCAATCATAGCTAAGGATCGGAACCTCATGAAGGACTGAAATTAAATTCATATATATATATCGATCTTAAATTTAAAAATTCTGAAAAGATAAGGCCTATTTTACTTCTGTTAATAAAATAGTATATTATATTAAAAGTTGAGTGGGTAGAAACTCCGACTGACACCAAATCGATCGTGTTTCGATCCTGGCTTGAGGCATTCGGATGTCTAGCCACACTGAAGAGCTGTGATACAGCAAAACAGTACTGTCTGTGAATGA